ACCATATCCTTCAACATTTGAAGACAGGTGTCACTCGCTATGTGATCTCTGATTTGTGTTAAACGCTGATTAGTGACGTTCAGGTCGTCCGTTTGATTCATGTCTTCAGCTTTCTCTTGCGCCCTCTGTAGCATGCACACAGACTGCCAATTGTAGGCCTCATTGCTCGTGTTGACTGGAACTGTGGCTCGACGAAGTGTATCGCAGATATGCATGTCAGTGCCCGGTTTGTATGTTACCTTGAGGTTGTAGCTTTGCAATGCGAGAAGCATGCTCTGGAGACGCTTCGGAGCACACAGGAGAGGCTTGGTGAAGATGGCGATGAGCGGCTTGTGATCTATCTCTGCTGATATTTCTTCTCTGCCGTAGAGGTAATGGTGGAATCGTTGACATGCAAATACGATGCTCAAACGCTCCTTTTCAATTTGAGCGTAGTTTTGTTCGGTCTGTGTTAATGCACGAGATGCAGAGCTAACTAGTTGGCCATTCTGGAGAAGGCAACACCCCAGACCCTTCTGGTTGGCATCACTTTGTACGGTGACAGGCTTTGACACATCATAGTATTTCAACAGTGGTGCTGACGTCACAAGCCTTTTGATTTCCTCAGCAGCTGCATCATGCATAGGCAGCCAGTGAAACATATCATCTTTAGTAGAAGCCTTCATAGGGGTTCACATATTTCTGACAGGCGTGGAAGAAACCTGGCAAGGTATGTAACAAAACCAATCAATCTTTGCACAGACTTCACATCCGTGGGGTGGGGCATCTCCTGAACTGCCCTGATCTTCTCTGGGTCTGGCTGGAGACCGTTGGATGACAAAACATGCCCATGAAACTTGACCTCCCTGACCTTAAACTGTAGTTTCTTTTGGCTGAGTCTCAGTTTGATCTCCCTGCACCTTTCCATTAGCGCGATTAGCTTTTCGTCGTGGTCCTTGATTGCTTCCGCATCTGTGTCCCCACACCCAACAATCAATATGTCGTCAGCTATTGGTTCAATTCCAGCAAGCCCTGACTATAGCTCATCTTGTTTGCGTTGATAGACCTCCGGAGCGACCGACACGCCAAACCGAAGTTTTTAGCCATCGATATCTTCCCCACGGAGTCCAGGACATCGTCATGAAGCTGCTCTCTCTGTCCAGTTTACACTGAAGAAAAGCATCCCGTGCGTCCACGAGCGTAAAGACACGAGCTTTCGGGAATTTGTACAGCACGTCGTCTAGTGTGGGCATTTGGTCGTGCAAGCGTTTTAATGCTTTGTTGAGGTACTTGGGGTCTATGCAGATCCTCATTTTCTCTGGCTGCTTAACGATTACCATATTGCTGATCCACTCTGTTCTCAGGGTTAATATGACCATCAAGTTCATGTTTATCCAGTCGGGCTTTTACTGCTGTTCTGAGGGCCACTGGTACTTTTCGTGGTGAAGTTTGTACCGGGGTCACAGAACCGTCAAGCTCAAAGTGTACCTCTCTTGGAAGTTCCTGGACTGGGTCCGTGAACGCATCTGAGAAAGACTCAACCAGTTGCTGCTTGGTAAGTGGCCCAGTGCTGCTCTGCCCGATCAGATTCACGCGTACAACACATTCTGTTCTAAAAACCCCGATTGAGTTGAGCGTTTCTCCTGAATACAAAACTAGCTTGGCCTTGCTTGAGAGTAGCGGAACGTCGGGCGCTAGCTTCCTCTTGATGCTCATTACATTGCACGTGGCCCCCGAATCCAACTGACATCTCTGGGGTGCTCCGTTTAACGAGAGGGTAGCAAACCAATTTTTTCCTTGACCATGTAGAGCACCAATGCTCTCTGCAGCATAGATATCATCCTGTTCTTCATCAAACTGTGCGTCTTCCGTGACATTAATTCTCTGGTTGGATTGAACTTTTGTCATGCACACTTTTGCAAAGTGATTCAAAGTCCCACATTTACGACATGGTTTTCCAAATGCTGGGCATGCATCAGCTCCCCGTTTGTGTGAGCCACCACGGTATTTGCACTCGACATTAATGTCCCCTCTTCTCTGTCCATCTTTGGGTTTATACATGCCTTGTGTGCCCCGTTGCTGTTGCTTGTCTGAAACATGAATACTCTCTGATATGCGCTCTGGCGTCACGAGTTTCAATTTCATATTCTCCCTTAGTAGGCGTCTTCTCACATTTTCATCAGTGATTCCAAGGACCAGCCGGTCGCGTAGCAGCTCTTCTTTTAGCTCTCCGTATTAACATGAAGCAGCCTTCTCGCGCAGTCTTGTAACAAATGAATCAATTGGCTCACCGTCGTCCTGCTTGCAGTTTCCAAACACGTATCTCTCGAATATTACATTCCGTTTTGGTTTGAAATAATTGTCCAACGTGTTCAATATCTCTTTCACGTCCTCCTGTTGTGCCGCAGACAGGTTCAGGTTGTGTTTGTACACGTGGCGGCAATCGCCTCCCATAAGTCTTCTCAGAGCAGCAGCCTGCACTCTTTTGTCTTTATCTTCCAACCCGGATGCCAAAGAATAGTCTTCAAATTCAGCACGAAAGTTATCCCAGTTGTTAGCAACATCTCCAGTCAGCTTCATCTCCTGCGGGACTGGGATGCTAACGTTAGCCGCTATGTCATCAGCCTCGTTGCTCTCACAGTCGCGATATTGGACTTCTAAGTGCGTGTTCCGCACTCAATAAACTTACAGCTGTGACGGCACTTACCGAAAACAGCAGTGGGTAGGATCACTTCTGATACCTTGTTTGTTTAATAAAGACACAAGACATGATGGCGTTTGACTGATGCTTTCGTAGCATGAATGGCAACTGGCAATAACAGAAGCAAGCGGCACCTCGCCTCTTGGTTATACCATCTCAAATAGAACGGGGGGAATAGTGCCCAAACACACACGGTAGCAGATGCAAACTTTGCTCTTTTTAAAAAAACTAAACAACACGGGAGACACGAGAAGAAAACTTGTCGGGAATCTAAAACAAATTTACCTGCCATTCTTTTTTTGTCTCATGCTGTGTACTGTTGCAATTTTAGGAATCAACATTGAAAATCCAACTGTGATTAGACTATTTCCTGACTACAAAGAGAATAAGGCTGTATTTTACTTTTGGTGCTTCTATTTTAATACGAACAAAATTCAAAAACATCAAATTCCGATCAAGAAAAAAAAATCTCTTCCTGGCAACAAACCACGCATTGTGGTCACGTGATTATACAACTATAAGTTGTCACAGACTGCGGACTCAGTCTGTGACAGCGGCCTGAGGGATTCATGTGGATAGTACTCTGCATTTGGATTGTACATGTGCAATATGTCGATAGAGTTTGATGTCGTTTCGCTACTTTTGTCATTTTATTGCAGCTTCATTTGCCAAGTAGGCTGCCATTACACTGGTGAGCAGCGTCAGCTGTCGTTGGCCTCCTAATTGACGTCTGAGCTGCACTGTCAACATCACTTGAGAACAGAAATGAAGAGAAGAAATTGGATAATACCAGAAGAAAACTACATGTCGTATTGGATGGGATAACCGAAAGAGCAGACAGAGTATCAGACCCACTACAGAGCGGAGTGAAGTAAAAAAAATGAGACAAAACAAGAACATCCTCGAGCACGGTAGCAGCCTGTTGTCACGCTGAGTTGCAGCTCTTGCTACAGTGAGACCAATCTACTCCTGTGAGGCCACGACCCCAATGTCACTCATGAGATGAGGCGGGTGCAGGTGTTTTTGTGCAGACACGCCAGTGAATGTGTCAGCGTGGGCTGCAGGGCGCAGTAGAAGACTCCCGAGTCGCTGGGCTTCACGCGTTCGATATGCAGAAGAGCTTGCCGAGCGCTGGCATCCATGCTGCAGTGAAACCTTTCACCATATTTTTCCCCCTTCTTGCCCTGACCGAACTGATCGTTTCTCAGGATGAAGTCCGGCAGTGAGTTCACTTCTTGTTTGTACCAGAAGATATAGTCGCCTGACATCGAACTGTCGTAGCTGCAGCTGAGCGTCACTGCTGCACCCTCGACGGCGTGGACGTCCAGCTCCGGCTGGTGCACCGTCTGGCTGCTGATTCCTGTCACAAAAAGGCAACAAAAGCGATCAGACATCAGTGGAATGCGACAGTGACTTCACATCTCGACCTCACCCAGGATCCAAACAGCCGTCAGCACACATTCAAGCGCCCGACTCATGTCTGCACTCAGAATGTGCGTGAACTCTGACTTGTTGCTGAGGGGGCGGGGGCTTTCTGAAGCAGTGACATCACACGTGCACCATGGAAGTCATGTATCTGCAGAGCAACGCACTGTGGTTCGCGTGAACGTCATCTTTGTCTTGTCTTGGTTTTAATCAGACTCATTTATAGCTAATGTAAGTTGAGGGATTCTGTTTTTTTAATGTATGGCTCTACTTTCCGAACGGCAAAAGGAGAGATGGAATCCTTTGAATGCAGTTTTATTGAAAAGAAAAAAAAAGACGTCTGCTCCGCAGCATGTTCGAGAACACACACTTCACAACTAAAATCACTTCCTGCTTTCCCTTTCTTCAAAAGCCAATCAGAATCTATCAACATAAAATCATCTCGAAGCAATTAAACAACAGAATGCAATTTAGATAATCTTAACATGAAATAATATGATGCTCAAACACATGGGCGTCATGAGGCCTATTCGTCCTGCTTGCCCTGTCTTCAAAAGCCAATCAGAATCTATCAACATAAAATCATCTCGAAGCAATTAAACAACAGAATGCAATTTAGATAATCTTAACATGAAATAATACGATGTTACCACCTGGTAACATTAAAACAGATGTGAATGACTTTTGAGCGGAACTTTGAAGAGAGGCAACATGATGCCAGCATCGTGAAGCCAGAGGTGGTGGGCGTGGCCAATGTGGTTG